AGGACTAAAAGATAAAAAAAATATAGTTAGAGAACTAACAGTTCTCTAACAGAATATGAAGTTTTCCATTATCTTTGACCAAGTAGACGAAATTGAAATGAATCTGAAAGTTAATAGACCACTTAGAAATAAAATATAATTTTTAAACTAAAATGAAATTAATGTGATAGTTAATAGATTAAAAATTGAATTAAGTAGTTTCCCCATATACTTCTTCTGTTTGTCACTGTGCATGCATATATATGAATATGAGGACAACTTATGACGCAAGTCACACAACCTTTTTAGAAGTGGAATTTGCGTGCAGGTAACATGAACAATTTATCTAAATTTTGTAGTTAGGATTTTTCAGGTTAAATTTAATTAATATTGTCTTCATTTTGACTTAGGAGAAGTTGAAATCAAGATATCTTAGCATTTTGAATATTAAAATTACCTATAAAATTATTTAAATACTTTTACGTTATATTTTGTTTGAGAGAAATAAGTTCCTTTTCTCTCTTTTTATCTGATTAAATTATAATATAAAAAATTTAAAAAAAAAAACTAAAACAAAATAAGAAAAAACCCATTCATTCTTTGAAACCAAATAAACTATTAGTGAATTAATCTTTTGATTAAATTAGTTTTTAATTGTTAAATTTGATTATTTAAATTTAAAAAACCAAATTAAAAGTCAATAATCATAACCATACTAAACCAAATACAATATTATTTAAATAATTTTATTATTATTTTTGATATTTTAATTATCAAAACGTTTTAATTTTCAATTATCTCTTAATATAAAACTATAAAAGCTAGCATCATAAACCATTGGATGGTGGATCTTATAAGTTCTAAATGTTAGACTCTCTCAACTAACAGTTTTAATTTTGCATGTCAACAAACTGTAACTCGTGCAAATAGATAAAGTAATTACCACATAAGGGAATGACTCCTATTTTGATGCAAACATCACCGTGTTTAAATGAACAAAACCATGTTATTGCTTGAAGAGGAATTGACAATACAATTATTTAGAGCAAAATCAAGTCCTAATCAATCAGAGTATTTGCTGGGGCACGGAGATGGCTGAGTTTTGTCTGACTGTTACAATTTCAGGGGAAAGCATAGCTTAAACACATTGACAAACTTTCCTTATATAAATCCAAACCCATTTTGGAATCGGCTTGCCTCACAACAATTTCTTCTCGTTTCCTTTCCGAGCTATCCATGTCGGAGAGGTTCGAACAATGGATGGTTCAATAAGGTCGCGTTTACAACGATGTGAGGAGAAGGAGAAACGCTTAAAGATTTTTCAAGAAAATGTGATGTTGAATCCCACAATACCAGTTCCGGTCAAAAATACAAGTTGGGGATGAATACGTTCACTGACTTGACTAATGAAGAGTTTAAAGCAGAAATGGTTACAAAGCCACAATGGCAATCCCGCTCAAACATACAAGTGGGGGATCAATGCGTTCACTGACTTGACTAATGAGGAGTTTATTATTATTTTTTTTATTACCCTTTTAATTTCGAGTAATCACATTGAGTTTTAATTAATTTAGAATCAAACTGTCGTCGGATTTTATCGGAAGAAAACTCTTCAAATACTTATTTCTCCATTCACAAAACTCAAATTTAAAATTTTATTTAAAGGTATTGGCAAGGGCTAAGGAAGAGTTTAAAGCAATGAGAAATGGTTACAAAGCTACAAAGCTACGATGCCGATTCCGGTCAAACATACAAATGGGGGATCAATACGTTCACTGACTGGACTAATTAGGAGTTTAGGAGTTTAAAGCCATGAGAAATGGTTCCAAACGCCGATCTTCCAGAATTTCAGTCTCATCGTTAAAAAGTTCTTTCAAATGTGAAATTATGTCTTCATTCGCCGTTACTGACACCGTGGATTGGAGACAGAACGGAGCCCTGACTGCCGTTAAGAACCAAGGTGTATGCGATAAGTTATTGATTTAAGACAATTCCACCTCATGGTATTATAAAAATTTAAATTTTTTAATTTCATTTTAATTTAAAGTTTTTAAATAAAAAAATAATTGATACAAACTTAGTTTAATGCACTTTTTAACATTTTTTTAATTGAAATATTAAAATATAATATAAGTATAATTTAATTTAATTAATTTTTATATTCTGTGTATATAATTATAATTTTTAAGTTTGTGTATTTTTAATTTAAAACAAATAATAATAATTTTTAATAAATATATTATACGATATATTGAATTAAAATATATATCAACCAATTAATGTTTTTTTTTTTAAATTTATTGGTACCAATTCAATTAAACATTTTTTTATCAAAGCAAATATAATGTTACCATTCTTTTCATGAATTAGATTAAAAAAAAACGTTAATACGGACTTGAAATGACCAAAACGCCATTAATAAAGATCATCCTTATGTTACAAAAAGAATGAATAATCATAATAAAGATCATTCTTTCCATTCACTTTACCTCAACAACCTCTATTAGAACTTAATTCTCTTATTTGTATTAAGAGTAGATTGTTATGGAGGTATTTAAAGTTATTGGCAAGTGCATTCTCTTTATTATATGTTAAAAAGCAGCAACACGAAAGTAATAAAGAAACAAAAAAAGTTTTAAAGCATAAACAAAATTACTATCTTTAAAGTTTAATAGATCCTAAAATACAGTATAATAAACTAAAACTCTCTCAAAGTACAAATGTGTAAGAAATGACAAAATAAGAAATTAAGTGAAAGAGTTCTGAACCTTATCCTTTTTCTTTTTATAGGAGCCAATAGGTCCATTTTCATTGTTATGTCCGAATAGTCATGCATGCCTCTTGTATTAAACCGGTATTCTTCAAAATTTAAAATAAAACGTGTCAGTTGTTTTAAATTACATCCTCATTGACACACCTTTTCAAGGATGTCTTAAAGACATACTTTGTAGCACTAAATGCGTTGGATAAGGTGTATGTTTACTAAGACTAAGATTTTAGTTTTAGTCTTTGTAAAACTAATCTCTTTTCAGCTATTCTCCCATGTTCCAAAAAAAAAAAAGAAAAAAAAAAAAGCGCATGTCTTAAAGACATGTCTTATTTGATCAAAATTCATATTGACTTTTCATCTAAGTCCGGAACATTTTAACTCAGCACCTTAAAATTATTCATCATTATATGCTAAATAATTGTTGAATCTTTGATTCTTTTCTATAAATGTAGGGTGTTGTTGGGCGTTCTCTGCAGTGGCAGCTGTAGAAGGGATAGTCCAAATCACTACTGGAGAATTATTCTTACTTTCAGAGCAAGGGCTGGTTGACTGTGATACAAGTGGAAGCCAAGGGTGCAAAGGAGGTTTGATGGATGGTGCCTTTGAATTTATCATTTCCAACAACGGCCTCACCACTGAAACCAACTATCCTTATGAAGGAATTGATGGAACCTGCAGCACAGGGCAACAATCTAACTCTATTGCCACAATCATCACCGGCTACGAAGAAGTTCCCACCAATAGCGAGGCGGCGTTGCTGGAAGCGGTGGCAAATCAACCTGTTTCCATTGCAATTGACGCTGGTGAATAGGACTTTCAGCACTACTCAAGCGGTGTGTTCAGTGGCCAGTGTGGGACTTAACTAGACCATGGTGTGACCGCAATTGGGTATGGAACTAGCGATGATGGGACTAAGTATTGGCTGGTGAAGAATTCATGGGGCTCTAGTTGGGGCATGGAGGGTTACATAATGACGGAGACAGATATTGAAGCTCCAGAGGGACTTTGCGGCATTGCCATGGAAGCCTCTTATCCAACTGTTTGAGAATCAAACATGCATAAATGGCGGAGCTAGGAAAAAAATTTTAGGGGGCCAAATGAAACACTAATAAAGAACTAGATTTGAATTATATATAAAATAAATAAAAATTTAAAGATAAAAATAACAAAAATAAAAATTAGTAAACCATATTAATAATTTTTCAAAAGTTTAGGGGCCTAAACCCCTCCCTCAAGCTAGCTCTCTCTCTCTCTCTCTCTCTATATATATATATATATTTATACTTTTCAGCAACATGTATATTATTCGGTTCTCCTTTGTTTACCATAACACAAAATAAAATCTAATTGTAGTAGGAATAACATCATGTATAAAGTTTTAAAAACATAGTATACATAAACTATACATCTTGTATTTAATAAAATTTTCATTTCTTTTCTTTATCTATTAATTTCTAATAAAAATAACTTGTTTTGGTAAAGGATTTGCTTCTCGTTATGTTGACAAAACTACGGATTATTTTCATAACTTGTAGATTATTTTCACGCATCTTCAAATATTATATAGGGATGATAGGAAGCACGATACTATGGTTTATATTTTCATGCCTTGCACAGGTCCGTTAGGAGTTTTTATATCCAAGGGCACGAGTCTGCTTGTTGATGGACATTATAATAGTTTACCTTGCTCTTAAGCCTTATCTGGTTTTACTGCAGTTTTTGTATAGGGTTTGGGATACGCATTATACTCTCTATAACAAAAATTATCTCATTTTGTCGAAAAAAACATATATTTTTTCATGCTTTGGAACAGGGAATTAGCGATTCGAAGTTAAGTTTGTGCTTGCGTGTTAACAAATGTTAGCCCAATCACACAAGTAGGCAATCCATATAAGTAATTAAATTTAATTTGCCTTTCTATGGATCGAGACCGGCCTGCTGCTGGCTGATGTCAAGACAATGAAAAAACTGAACTCAGCTCACTTCTTGAGGAAGAAAAATTGGTGCCATAAAATGTGGATTAGCAATTGACAATAGGTGAATAGGCTTAGTTATTTTTTTTTTAAAAATTATCATTAATATGAAATTTTATTGATTGAATTTATTGATAAATAAATAGTCTTTTAAGTTACAATAAAGATTTAAGTTTTGGAGGGAGATTAGAAAAATTAAGAGATATGTTGGTGAAAGGGTTTTGGTGGGAGGTAGGAGATGGGTAGTGTGTGAGTTTTTGGAGGGATAAATGGATAGCTAATAAAACATTAAGGGATGTGTGTCCTAGATTATTTGAGTTGGCAGTGAACAAGGATGGAAAGCTTCGGGAGATGGGGGTGTGGGAGGGAGATTGTTGGAGATGGAGGTTGGATTGGTGAAGGCAAAGAATAGGTAGAGAGAATAGTGAGGAGGGAGTTTTGTGGGAGTTGTTGGATAGTGTGTGTGTGACAAAAGGTAGGGTCGATAATTGGAAGTGGGTACATGGTGCGGATGGTGTTTATGAAGTCAAGAAAGCTTGTGCTTTGTTAGATTCTGATGATAGAATTCTTGCTGAGTAGGTGTGTAAGTTAATTTGGTGCCAATATGTTCCCTCAAAAGTCAGTTTTTTTTTGGTCGGTGATTATGCTTAGATAGATTGGCCACAAAGGTTAACTTATAACAAAGGGGGTAGCTTTGCAAGGGGTGGAGTTGCTATGCTGTTTGTGCAAGGAGCAAACAGAGGAGAGAGATCATTTATTTTGTACTTGTCGAGAATCTTGGTTGGTATGGATGCAGGTGTTAAAGTGGTGGGGTATGGGAGGGGGTGATGCCGAATACAGTGGATGGAAAAGTAGATTTTTTTCTATTTCATTTGGGAAGGCTTGTAGGAAGAGAGATGAGTTCTTGCATTTTTTTTTTATTGGTATCTTGGTATATTTGGTATTGGAGGAACAATAGAGTATTTAAAAATGGGAGGAATTTGGGATAATAAATGTTGGATGCGGTACAAGGTAAATCATTTGTCTGGCTTAAACACAAGGTGCAGGGGTGTGTTTTTTCATTTTGTGATTGGCAATTAATCCCAGTGGGTTGTGCATTGACTATTCAAACGAATAGAAGTTGTTTGAAATAATTTCAAAGACAACATAAGCATGTGGATGCAAGTTTTGAAGTAGGGGTTGTTTGAACATGTAATTTTTGTTTTGTTTTATCTATGGTTACGTTTATGTAGCTAAGGTTGGTATGTACAATATATTTAAATGAGTAGGAATGCCCCTTGTATTCCATTTTTCTTAATAAATTAATTTTGCTGATAAAAAAAACAATAAGATTTTTTTTTTCTACTTGGTGGCATGGTTGACTTGTCCGTATGATGGCGAGATCGCCAGTTCTAACACGCTACAATCTGGCGTTTTGGTGGGCGCACCTACAAAATAGAAAAGATTGGTGTTGGTCAATCAATCCCACCAACTCATGCTTTTTTTCCATAATTTCATCAATTCAATTAATTACACGTTGCAAGCAATGGAGACTACTAGGGTTCGAGAGAGGGATGCAGTGGCCAGGGCAGACGGCAGCTTCCACCGACGACAAGGCTCCAGGCGGCGGATTCCAGGTTTCAATACTCAGTTATCAGGGTAGGTTCAGACATTTTTCTTCTACAATTTCCCCAAGACGGAGATAGCAAAGAGTCTTTGGTTTTGCTTTCAATGATTCGGCAAGGTAGTGGATGTTTTTCTGCAAAACAAGAGGGACAAGTGGGGGAAAAAATTTGGATTTGTTCGAATGGTAGGAGTGCAAAATGAGGCACAGATGGTGAAAAAGCTGAATGAGATTTGGTTTGGGCTGTATAAGTTGAGGGTGAAGATGGTTGATAGACCACGGAAGCGGCTTCCTGAACAGACGAAGGCATCAGGTGCAGAAACTAGGAGGCGGAGAACGATTAGATTGGTGCAACTAGGCCACTCTTATGCACAGGCGGTTGTGGGGAAGAATAAGTGGGTTGAAAAGCAACAGCCACAAGGCATGATAGCAATGGAGAAGGTATCAGTTAAGAGACATGAGGATCGGGATATGGAGCAGAGGGTATTGGGTGCCGAGAATGAGGGAGAGGGATTGGGTGCAAAGGAAAAGGTACAGAAAAAGAGTATGGGTGCAAATAGAGAGTTTATTATTGCATTTGAGCCTACAAAGGAAGAAAGTCAATGGTTGGAAGGGAGCATGGTCGCTGTTTTGAATTCTTTAATGTTAGTGACAGGTATCCAGGAGAGAATGGGTGTGGATGGAGGGTTGCTTGCGTTATTTCCATTAGGGGGAAGTTCAGTGCTGCTTCTTAAAAAGGTGAAGGGCTACCTCGGTGAGTATATGGTGCAGAACAAAGAGTTATTCGATATATGGTTTGAATCTATATTACCATGGGCGTTAGCATCGACATGAAGTAGACGACTGGTGTGGCTGCGGATATCTGGTATTCCGTTGAATGCATGGACTGATAGATGTTTCGAAATGATAGGAAGAACATTCGGGGAGGTGGTGAGGGTGCATGAGGATACCAAATCCAAAGCTGTTTTGAGTGAAGGAAGGGTACTGGTTCTTTGTTCAGTTACACACAGTATTTCACCTGTGTTGAAATTGAAGGTAGTTAGACAGCTACATGAGATACAGGTAATGGAGGAGGGATGGAGATCAGACTCAAATTGGTGGCTATCAGAGGGTGACCGACGGAGTACGACGGGGACATCATCGGAATATTCCTCCACACATATTGATAGTGAGGATAAAAGATTTATTGATGACGAGATTCTTGGCGAAGATGAAGATAACATTGAATTGGAGCTGTTACAGGAGAATGGAATTTTGAATTCAAAAAGCAAGCAAATTGATGGTGAGTCGCTAACGGGTAGAGATGGGGGTTATGACTGTTGTAATGAAAATGGGTTGAGGAGTGCTAATGGGATGCTAGAGGATTATAGGGGGTTGAAGGACAATGGGCTTGTGGATATTAATGGGCTTGTGGAAGTTAATGGGTCAGGAGAAGATGATGTAGAAAGTTCTTTTAGTAAGATGTCCAAGGACTCAAAGCAAAAAGGGGCATCACGTGATAAGGAGAAAAAGGCAGCAGACTTTTCGGGAAAAAGACAGAAAAGTGGCAGAGTGCTATCTAGAAGAAATTGCAGAAATTTGGAATGAGAAAGCAGAGTGGGTGATGGGACGGACAAAGTGGCGAAGACTGAGGCGCGAGAAAGCTAAACTGGTGCCAATGGGTGCGAGTAAGCCGGAGCAACAGGGTGAAGAAGAATCTCTTTCGGATGGTTGTATTGCTCATCGAAATCAAGTTATTCAACGGTAGATTAATATGCAAGAGGTAAAGAAAATGATGTGCACTGGAAAAAGGCTTGGAATGCAGTTCGAAGGTACCGAAGAGGAGGTGGAGTCACGGCTGTTGGAGCTGGAAGAGAGAGATGAAAGCAGGAGACAGCAAGGGTAAGGTTTTTGGCTAGCTGTGGGGTAGTGTGGGTAAAGGTCTGCATTTTTGTTTATGAAGGTTTTACCTTTTAATGTTAGGGGTTTAGGGAATATGGTGAAGAAGAGGGAGTTGGGTAGGCTAGTACAGGTAGAAAAACCAAATTTGCTATTCCTACAGGAGACCAAATTAGAAGGGGTTGAAGAGGGTTTGTGTAAAAAGCTATGGTACTCAAATGATTTTGATTGGATTATGAAAAGTTCGATTGGTGCTTCAGGAGGCTTGATCTGTATGTGGGATAAATCATTATTTGTTAAGTTGGGGGAATTTACAAGAGATGGGTATCTGGGGATAAAAGGGCAATGGGGGGTAAAAAAGGAGGTATGCTTTTTTGTGAATATTTATGCTCCGAATGAAAGGAAGAAAAAAGCTGCATTATGGGATGAGTTGAGGCAGAGGATTGTTGAGGAGGGTGGTCGGTGGATGCTTACAGGGGATTTCAACGCTGTTAGGAGTATGGACGAAAGAAGGGGAAAAACAAGGGAGAGTGCCGATATGAAGGATTTTGATCTTTTTATAGAGACGGCAAGGCTAGTTGATAGCAAGTTGATAAATCAAAAGTTTACATGGTATAGACCAGATGGCACAGCAATGAGCAGATTAGACAAGATATTGATGACTGTGGAAATAAGCAGTACGGGTGGTGAATGGGTGCAACAAGGACTGAAAAGAAATATATCGGACCACTGTGCGATTGTTTTGAAAACAAGGACAACAGATTGGGGACCCAAACCGTTTCAAGTTCTGGATGCATGGCAACATCATTCGAAGTTTAGAAAAGTTGTTGAAGACAAATGGAATGAACTGGTGGTGGATGGATTTGCAGGTTACAAATGTCTTCAGAAATTAAAAATGTTGAAGCAATTTCTGAAGAGTTGGAATTAGGATGTCTTTAGGGATCTAGAAACTCAGTTTCAACATGCAGCGAGCACTATAGCAGAACTTGATATGAAGAACGAAGAGGTGGCATTAGAAGAGGAAGAATTGGAAGAACGACGACAAGGATTCCAAGCGCTTTGGGATATTATGAGGAAGAGGGAATCCATTTGGAAGCAAAAATCAAGATCCAATTGGGCAAAATGCGGGGATGCAAATTCGAGATACTTCCACCAAATTGCAAATGGGAGAAAGGCTCATAACAACATTGTTGGCATTTCGTGTGATGGCAAGTGGATGGAAGAGCTAGAGGTGATAAAGAGAGAGGTGGTTGGGTATTTTCGAACGGTATTTGCCAATGACTCACGAAATCGTCCAAAGCCCGCTGGAATTGGGTTTAAAAGGATCTAAAGAGATGATAGCATGGTTAGAAAGACCATTCTTGACGGAAGAAATTGAGGAAGGGTTAAAGAGTTGTGAGGGAACAAAAGCACCGGGGCCGGATGGATACAATTTTAGTTTTATCAAGTATGCTTGGGGTTGTATGAAGGAGGACTTTGTGAGATTTTTTGAGGAGTTTCACCAGAATGGCAGGTTAGTAAAAGGGTTAAACTCTTCCTTCTTAATGTTAATTCCTAAGAAGATGAACCCCATGGAACTAAAAGATTTTAGACCTATTAGCTTAGTTGGTTGTGTATATAAGTTACTAGCAAAAGTGTTGGCTAATAGGCTGCGGGTGGTGATGTCGGAGATCATTAGTGATTCTCAATCTGCATTTTTGGGAGGCCGTCAACTTGTTGACAGCGTGCTAGTCTTAAATGAGGTGGTGGACGAGGTTAAGTAGCGTAAGCAACAAGCTTTTATCTTCAAAGCTGATTTCGAAAAGGCGTACAACTGCGTAGATTGGTCGTATTTAGATTGGATGATGAGCAAATTTGGTTTTGGCAGGAAGTGGCGAGGGTGGATCCGAGAATGCCTTTCAACTGCTTGAGTCTCAGTTTTGGTTAATAGAAGCCCAACAGAGGAGTTTGCGATGGGGAAAGGATTACGACAGGGGGATCCGTTATCTCCATTCCTTTTTCTCATAGTGGCTGAGGGTCTGCATGGACTAGTCAAAAAAGCAGAAGAGGAGGGATTGCTACAAGGCATCATGGTGGGTAATAATGGCTTAGCTATTTCTTTGCTTCAATTCGCGAATGATACAGTGATATTGGGGAAAGCTAATAGTGAGAGTCTTTTTACGGTTAAAACCATTTTGAGATGGTTTGAGTTGATGTTTGGGTTGCGGATAAATTTTGGCAAAAGTAGTGTCTTTGGTTTCAACGTGGCTCCTCGATGGATTAAAGGGGCAGCAAGTGCTCTCCATTGTGGTGTTGGGGAAACACCCTTTATGTATCTGGGTATGCTTGTTGGGGGGAAGAGTGGGAGCTAGAAGATGTGGGATCCAGTTCTGCATAAATTTCAAGCTAAGTTAGCTGTCTGGAAGTCTGCTGATGAGCTAATTCCACTCTAGCAAGTGTACTAGTCCGTTCAAGTAATATAATGATGAAAATAGAGTATCGTCCCATAGAGACCATAGACTAATTAAGTACCAAAATTAATGAATTCTAATTTTATTTGAACAATTAAAATTAAATGATTTGAATAAAGTAAATAACTAAACTAATTAAAGAAAAAAACTAAATTAACTTTGAGTAATACCAAGAATTAAAAGTCTAAGGCATCCGACTTCACCATCATCAACTACTATAGAATTTAGATCAATATACTTTCTCAAGTTATACCAAACCTATCTTCACCTATTAACCCACTATATCTCTATGTGAATTTAAATAGATAAAGATGCATTATGTTCTATGAAGTTCCCTAGTTTACGCAGAAAATTAAGTCCACTTATCACTAATGCTACACAAATCACGTTGGTCCATCTCTGGCTTTCGTTCAATTCATGGTATATATTACTAAAAGCTATTACATAAAATCTCCTCTCGGTCTCAATTATGCTCTTCAAATCAGTTTTAATGGTGGCCAATCATCAAAAAGCATTAAGAACAATAATATATACTCTACATGAAATAATAACCCTTGAAAATATAAAAATCATGAAATTCTATATTAAATTGATCAGGCTACATCATAGCCTTAGATGGCAAAATTAGTTCATACCAAACATGATCAAATTTGAGATTAAATTGATGAACCACAATTCCATATTCAAACAAAGGAAAAAAGAAGTTTAGAAGAGCAAAAACCCAATTTGTGGAACTCAGATATGTAGCCTTTCACTGTCGCGCTTGTCCCTTTGTTTTGGATTGAAGTGTCCCAGTGGCTGCCTTTGCGTCTACCATCACTCACACAGAATTTGCGCAAGCTCTGTCTCAAACTCACCTCCAAGCTCTCTGCCGGCTGCCTCTTTGATTTCTCCGTCCCCCTCTCGGAAGTCCTCCCCTTTTTATATCCAAACATGTGCGAAAATTGGGTGCCCTTCTTTTTCTAAGCCCATCTTATCTCCTTGTGGAGATAAAGCCCACCATGTTTTGCCACGTGTATGCAGAAGACAATTTCAATTCTGGTCTTTGAATGGGAAAATCATGGAATCAGACTTGATGTTTTCAGCTTTTGTCACTTCAATCCATTTACTCTAGATTTCTTTAGTTTTACCCTCTACCTACAAAGAATGATAAAAGCAATGTAAAACCAAATAAAATCGTTCCAATAAAATATAAAAGACTACAATTCATGACTAACAAGCCATGTATAATTGTATGAAATTTAGCCTCATCATCTGCTGTGCTATCTGCTGGTGGTCACATCACTTTACTTAACTCGGTACTCTCTGCAACTCCCATTTTTTATATGTCTTTGTTTTTAATGCCAAATTGGGTAGTAAAAAGGTTGATTAGTATTCAAAGGGCTTTTTTGTGGGGAGGGATGGAATTGAAGAGGAAGATTTCATGGGTTAAGTGGGATTGTGTGTGTACTAGTAAGAAGAAAGAAGGTCTAGGAGTGCCAGATTTGCGTCAAAAAAATTGGCATTGTTAGGGAAGTGGTGGTTTAGATTAAGGGATGGAGCGAAGGGCTTGTGGAAACAAGTGGTATGGTAGAGGTATTATGGTGGAAGGGAGGAAGTGGATATTACAGCGGTGGATACAGTTAGGGTGTCTAGGTTGTGGAGGGATGTTCTGAGTATAGGGTTGCGATTAGATGGTTTAAAGAATATGCTAGTGAAGGGTTTTAGATGGGGGGTGGGAGATGGAAGTAGGGTGGATTTTTGGAAAGCGGTTTGGGTGGGGGAGAAGACTTTGAGGGATTTGTGTCCTAGGCTTTTCCAATTGGCGATTCATAAGGATGGTTTAGTTAATGAGATAGGGGTTTGGGAGGAAGGTAGTTGGAAATGGAGGATTGATTGGAGAAGAGGGAGACGGGGAAGAGAAAAGGATGAGGAGGTGCTGTTGTGGGAGATCCTGGGTAAAGTTCAACTTAAGGAAGGTGTTAAGGATTGTTGGCAGTGGGTGCATGTTCCTGATGGCAAGTTTATGGTGAGACACGCGTATGAGTTCTTGGAATCTATGAATTACATTCTTAATGAACAATTATGTAGGTTAATTTGGTGTCGATTAGTGCTTTCGAAAGTTAGTTTATTTGGGTGGAGATTATGTCTTGAGCATCTTCCCACTAAATTTAGCTTACAAAAAAAAGGTGTGGGTCTGGATGGGGGATTAAGGTGTGGGTTGTGTGATGAGGAAGTGGAAGAGTGTAATCATGTTTTTTGTACATGTACGGAAGCTTGGTTAATTTGGACTAAGGTGCTGCATTGGTGGGGTATGAAGGCTATAGTGCCGAATAGAGTGGGGGGATTAATGGATTTGTTTGCATATGGGCTGGGTAGGGTGATAGGGAAGGAATTGGGAGCTTGCATCTTTCTTATTACTGCATGGTATATATGGTTTTGGAGGAATTGTAGAGTTTTTAAGGGAAATGGGGTATTAAGGGATGAGTTATTGGAAACGATTCAGGCCAAGATTTTTTTCTGGGTAAAAAATAAAGTGCAGGGATGTGTTTTCTCATTTTGGGACTGGAAGCTCAACCCGCTAGAAATTGCTGCAGAAATAAGAAATAATAGAAGGCTGATGCGGGAGTTCCATTTGAACCAAAAGGGAAGGGTATAATGGGGCTGCTAGGTGGGTCATTGTCCAGCATAAGTCTGTGGCCAGGGTACCGGATGTTGGCCTAGTTTTGTAAGTCTCAATTCTGCAGTTTGTAGCCTAGTTTGTGTATATGGGTTAGAGTACCCCTTGTACTCTGCATTAATATCATTCTATTCATTTTGCTGATAAAAAAGATATATAATAAGTATGCCACATCCTAACCATAAATACTAAAAAAGAATTTGTTAATTTGAAAATTTGTTAGGTTGTTTAGTATTGTATTGTGATTTTTAGTTTTAATTTTTATAAATTTTGCAACTACTAAAAACCACAACTAAAACTAAAAAACTAAAAATTTGTTTAACACCAGTTTTTAACACTAATAATAAAAAATGTAAGCTTGTATAATAGCTTTAAAATAATTTTTATTATTATATTTTTAATAATCATGATAATATGTTACAAAAACACATGAAGTAAACAAGTTTTTTGGTTTTTTGATTTTTTTTTTGTCCAACAATGGGTTTTTTTGGCTTAGAATTGCAACATTTATAAAAATTACAACCAAAATCTAAAATCACAATCATACTAAAAATTCAAAACTAACAATTTATTTAAGAATATTTTAACACAAACAACTAAAAATATAAATTTGTTTAATAGTATTAAAATTATTTTTTTACTTACTTTTCTAGTAATCATGATAACATGCTGCAAAAACAAATAAAAGCAAACGATTTTTTTTATCTAAAAGTGTAAAAT